GAGTTGAAACTAAAAATCAAAACAAAATTTAAGGGAAAAAAACAACGGCCCGTTTGGTAACATTTTTAAAATGATTTTATTTTCAATACAAAAGTAAAAATGAGATTGTTTTGAGAAAATTGTTGGGACCGATTCAAAAATTACGTTTGGTTAGTTTTTTAAGAGATTATTTTAGGTATAATAAAAAAATGTGTTTGGTTATTATTATCAATTAATATATTATAATATTATGATAAATACTAGAAAATGAAAACAGAAAATGAAAAACTTTTAATCGTTTTTTAATTCCTTCACAAAAACTATTTTCACTGTTTTTTATTTTCATTTTCGTTTTGAAAATATTTGCTAAATAAATATGGTTTGCAGACTGTTTTTATTTTCGTGTATCAAAAGACATGCAAAAACGTTTTAAAAACATGCAAAAATCAATTCTAAACGCAACCAACATATTTGGAAACACATCTTAAAGGGTACTGGTCAAAGGGGCAACTTTGTAACAAAAACATTAAGGGTTGTAATTTCAAAAAAAAAAACAAAGGATGATTTTTTTTTTTTTTTTTTTTAAAGAAACTCAAACTGCAAGGTATAGTTTTGTATAGTTTTGTAGCTGTCCCTCTAAAAACTTACTAACGATTTTGTTGAACTATAACGCAGATAGCAGTTTATACAATGAACACGTGGACAAAAACCGTGATGGAGAACGTTTTTTCCCTGATTGGAAGAACTGCCCCACCTGACTTTCTAGCGAAATTGACATATTTGATATGGAACCACCATGAAGCGATTAAGCACATTGACACCGTGAGAGCTTATACATTTGGCTCTCACTACTTTGTAGAGGTTGACATAGTCCTGCCAGAAGATATGGTTCTGTTCCAGGCACACAACATCGGCGAGACCCTCCAAGAGAAACTCGAGCAACTCCCCGACGTGGAGCGGGCTTTCGTGCACATCGATTTTGAGTTTACTCACCGGCCGGAGCACAAGCGAAAGGCCTGATGGTGACAATGATACTCAATGATGGTGGTGGTAGTAACAACTCCAAGAGACCTGCCTTTTTTTGCTAGGCCTGAAAAATAAGCTGCTGATTTTGTTGTCGTCGTTGTTGTTGTTGTATTCATTGTGTGTGTCGTTTGAACAATCTTTTGCTTATTTCTTGACCACCTACTAGAATCAAACCACTCTGCTTTTTGTTAGCCCTTTGACTAAGAATTAATGAATTTTATGATCTTTTTGCTCCTTCACATCAGTTACTAGTAATGAATGATGACCAAGTTTGTTCTACTCAAGTTAATTTTCCAATTCTTTCCATTGTAACTATAACTATGATCAGCAATTAGGTCAAGTGGCTGGTTAGGGCCACCATTTTCAAAAAATATTTAAACTTTCATTTTTTTTTAATAAAAATGGCTGGTGGCCATTATAATGGTTGATGTGCTGGTTGACGAGTGAATCATACGTTTGGTTCATAGATTCAGATTCATGATTCAGAATTATTCTTATTTTATGTGTGTATTTTGTGAGAGAAAAACACTGTAGAGAACCATAAATCATGATTCAAAATCAAGAACGAATACAGAAAATAAACGGATAATAAACCCGTGGTCCACCACTTTGGCATGGTACCCAGCCCTATCGGCCTATCCCCATAAGGATCCAAGCAAGCTTGAGCCATCTAATCGGGTTGAGCTAGGCCTAAATACATTATTCACTAATATTTGTTCATTTTTATTTACCTAACATTATCAAGGTTTTTTTTATGGGTAATTTTGATAAATACTCTTTAAAAGTGTATGAGTCATGATTTTTACCCTTTTATTCTTGATTCATAACATTTTTAGTTAAATAATTATACTAATAAAATGATATTTATCAAGATTAAAAAAGTAAAAATTTAAACTCATGTATTCTTAAATTTATAATTTTTTCTTTTATTTTTTATTTATAATCAAATTCCTTAAAAGGCCCATAGTGTTCCAAAAGAAGAGGAAGAAAGGTCCGTGGGCCAGCAGCCCATTTGTGAGAAAAGAGAGAACCAGTGCAAGAATCAGGAAATCTGTTGCCGGTGAGGCTGCCTAATTGTTTTCCTGAGGGCACTTTAGTAATTTCACTTGAGGACTAAGCGTATTAGGGTTTCAATCGAGGGCCTTCTCCCTCACCTATTTAAACCCCATTTTCAACTCCTCTCCCCTCAGATCTCAAATGGCGTCTCTCTCTCACTCTATCTGTTTTTTTTTTTTTTTTGGTCCAACCCAGTTTTTTTTTTTTTAGTTTCATCACTCAATTGAATTCAGAGTTGTTCTATATTATGGCCTGTGATGTCAAAAATTTGTCCGTACCATCTGAGACTTTTTTCGTCATCTCTGATGCATAAATTTCATTTCTAGTTTTCTGAGGCCTTCCCAAAAGTTTTTTTCTTTCTTTCTTTTTTAATTTTTTTTTTCTAATTTCACATCTCAATGTTGGTTTATAGGAGGCCGTGATGTCTAAATTTTTATACCATCAAACTATGAAAGCTTCAATTAATTTGAGCTTATTGATGCTAACAAACACTCTGAGCCCTTTTATTTTTCGTCTAAGATCTTGTTTTTAATATGATTTTTTGTTCGTAATGATTAAATTAAACGTGGATGTTGAAAGGCAATAAATTAGAGTCTCTGATGCGCTTATATTTCAGTAGCGTTTTCAGCGCTGTACGTTGCCGATAAGAACTTGGGAGCTGAGATTCTGGCATTTGTCTTTTTTGTTTTCTTTGAGGCTTATGCATTCAGATGTTCCCACAATTTTATTTTACTTGGTTGGTCTTTCGTATTTTTCTTTTTGTTTTTGTTTGAAATTGTCTAATGTCTAGTATTTTTCAAATGATTTTTCGAATTTCTGGGAAGACCAGTGCTTGAATTTTCTGAATTCGGGATTAAATGTTTTTCATAAAACTAATAAAACATAAATGATTCTTAATTTCTGTTAAAAAGGGATTTTTTATTAAAAAAATGAATAGTTTTTAAGGAGGAAAGATTATTGAACCAAATAAGGTTGCCTGTAATTAGTCTACATAAGAAGATTAGACTACTTTTGTAAACAATGGAGGGTTTTAAATTGAAAGTTAAAGAATTAGATTTTTATATTGAAATTTTGTCGAACTTTTTAGTACTTATTTATAATAATTTTTGTTAAAATATGGTGCATTGTAACATTTAAATTAAAAGTTAAAGAATTGAAAAAAATTTTATATTGAAATTTTGTCGAACTTTTGGTACTTATTTAAAATAATTATCGTCAAATTATGTTATATTGTAACAAGTTAAGGAGTAATTTATTAAAATTAAAAATGTTGTATTGTAACGAGTTAAGGAGTAATTTATTAAAATTAAAAGTAGTTAAAATCATACAAATTTAGAACGAGTAAAATACCTTTGCTGAGATGAAGACCCTAAAAAATAGAAAAATAATGATGAGACGAAATTGGAACCATCACGGCTGAATGCTAATTGAGGGACCCACCTAGAGATGTTAAAGGAGCCGCCGGTCCTAGGCCCTAGGCCCGTGGCGGGGCAGGGCCGTGCTTGGCATAGTCCTACAAAGTGTAAGGTTGTACTAGGGTCGGGTGAGGAGAAACCCTTAGGCCTAATATTGGCTCTCCGCCTTAGTCTATAAGGGCCAGAGTCAGGTTCGGGCCTTGGCCCTTCACTGCTCTGCCCTTTTAATTTTTTTTTTTTGTAATATTTAATTTTAAAAAGTATATATCATATGTATTTAAAAGATGTTATTTTATTAAATTGAGATAATATAAATAAGTATACATAATGATTGTCTCGTTAAAATCTTTGTCAAGTAAAACCCGAGAGATCAAGACAAAATCTTAGTGAAGGAAAAAAGAGTGCAGTATTTTAGGATAAGTAAATTACAAAATCTAAGTGCTTTCAAAAGATTTTGTTATGTCTAAACGCAATTTTAATTTAATTTTCTTAATGCACTTGAGTTTCACTTATGACTAACAATTTTTTTTTTTATAATTTCAAATTTGATGACAAAAAAAAGGCAATATATCATATGTTCCAAAAAAAAATGTGATTTTATTAAAATAGTATGAATAATTATAAGAAAATTACTGGTTGACTGGATGACATAAGTTGGCCAATTGGCCCTAAAATGCCTCAAATCTCACTAAAATTTCATGTCGCGGGCCTAGGCCTTTGCGGGTAGTGCCTGGCCCTTCATGTGCATGGGCCGTGACTGGGCCTTGGCGGGCCTAGGTCGTGCTTGGGCCTTGGTGGGCCTAGGCCGTGCCTGGGCCTTGGCCGGGCTTGGGTTGCGGGTCTCAAACATGAGGCTCAGCCCAGACCCTTTTGGCGTGCTGGGCCGGCCCGACCCATAACAGTACAGAGCCTGGTGGTGCCGAATTGACCATTGTAGCGGGCTGGGACGGCCCGACTCAATTTACACCTCTAGACCCACCGAATTTGGAAGTTGAAATATACAAATAGGCTCCATTCATTTCGCCGATTCAAGTTTAGAATTTGAGTTTTGCTACAGTAAAAAGCTCTCAGAAACAGTCACATTTAACTTTTTTGCTACAGTAAAAAGCTCCCACATAAAATCACATCTCAACTCGAATTACAAACTCGAATCAGCGAAGTGAACGGGCCCTATGTTGACATTAAGGTCTGTTCATTTCACCGATTCGAGTTTAGAATTTGAGTTTTGTTATAGTAAAAAGCTTTTCGAAGCAGTCACATCTAACTTTTTTAGTAGAGTAAAAAATTCTTACATAAAGTTAAATCTAAACTCGAATAAAAAATTTAAATCAGCGAATTAAACGGGCTCTTTGTTACTATATAATCATCCACAAATTTGGGGTGTTAGGCAAAGGGTAAACTACAGGAGTGTTATGTTTTGGAATAAGAGTGTGCAACAAACTATTCAAACCAATCAAACAACATTAAACTAAAAGAATTTAGGTTAAGATTCGAATACTAAACAAGCGGTTTGGTTGGTTTGCACATACATATTTTAAAGAGTTAAATTCGAATACTACTTTTATACAAAATGAGACGTGATATAAAACTTAATTAATAAAAAACACAAAATATATTGGACGTTTTCAAAAATTAAACAAAAGATCGATCAAAACATTAAAACCTTATCAAAAGAACTCCACTACGCAAAATAAGGTATTGGAATTATAGGCAACATATGCATAAAAAAAAAAAAAAATTATAGAGTGGCTATATTTACATCCACAAATTTTAGAAATGTCCTGATGATTAATTCTTCTTTAATAAATATTGAAATACTCTCCTTTTATAGATGTTATTATCATAATATCTAATTTAACCTATCAGAGCACCTTTATAATTTAACTAGTATAATTAGACACCCACTCTCATTTTAATGTTGATTTGATCCTTTACACTGTTAATGTTATATTTTCTTTTTAAATAAAATTATTGCAACTCATCAATCTCTTTTTCTCTAAAAAAAAAAAAAAAAAAAGCTATTATTCATCAATCTTCTTACCTTTATTGCATAAAAATAAACTATAGTTGTACATGCTTCTATACATATAAAAAAAAAAAAGTCCCGCCATATATGCTTATTAACGTTGCATTTGTTTTTTTCCCCCTAGTGTCATCCTTCTAAGCCTGTATACAAAACAGAGTTGTTTTTTTTTTTTTTTTTTTTTTGAAAATGAAAATTCATACTTTGACCCATTGTATACAGAACGTAGATTTACCACTAACTAAGCCTGTATCAAATCCTTATATGAGTAATGCAAATATGAGTACAAATTTAGATGTTTGGTACCTAGATTCAATCCCTGATTCGAATCATGGTTCGTAGTTCGTTACAGTATTTTCTCTTATAAAAAATACGCGTAAATCAACAATAATTCTAATCTATGAACCAAACGTCTGTATTTTTTTAAAGGAAAATTACATTTTATTAAAATATTAATAAACAATCATCTTGGTGCAATGCTAATCAATTAGAAGGACAAATGCACGCTTGAGGCTTGAAACTGGAAAAGCACCTCGGCACACTAATAACGAGCAGACTAAAAGCTCGACTAGAGAAAAACCCTTTCTTCAACATAAGCTGTCGAGCGCTGGAGAGACAGATCGTCAAAACCAACAAAAAGGGAACATCTTCACAGCATAAAAAAATTCTAACCGGACCAAGACCACCTATAAGTATTAAGCCGAACACATGAATCTAACAAAAAATAACAAATCAGATGTAGGTTGGGTGGGGAAACTACCAATCTTATTACAAACACAAAAGTGACAAAAAGAAAAAAAAACCTCCGACCACTGCTGGTAGAAATCTTCGATGAAGGGCATTTGGCCAAAGGACCATCGAGGAAGATAGCCAACGAATAGATCTCAGCCACTAAGCGTAAGACACTTGTAAAAAAAGAGACCGTCCATTCGGCTTCAAAACTCCTAACCAGTTTAGATATGTCCAAATAGAGTCATCACACCGTACACCATCACCACTAACGGGAAGCTAACGACGAGACGAGCCGGAGGACCAAATTTCACGGTCGAGAGCTCAGCGACACACCCGGAGGCGGTGCCAGAGGTCCGGCCAGCCTCTGCTCTCCAAACACCTTCTCACTCTTTCTCTCTATAGAAAACACTTCGGGCGTCAATTTAAGTATTTTGATAGATCTCAAAGAGATTTTTTTTTCTTTGTTGGAAACATACAAACATGGCATCCTCTTGAAAGTTCAAAGAATGATTCGAATTTTGGAAAGAAAAAGTTATTGCAACAATACAAAAATGGACTGTATTCTATTGGGGAAAAAAAAAAGAAAAGAAAAAAAGCGAGTACCGGAAAAAGAATGTGCCATTGTTGCCGAATGATTCTTGGAAACCAATAGTCGAATATCCTTTGAGAATGCCTTCAAGTGTACCATCCAACTTTTCTTCCTTGTTTTATTGTTATTCTTCTTGAAAATAAATAACCTTATCCTAATGCCTTAAGAACCCTTAAATCCACGCATATCCCATCTCAGTCCAAAAAAAAAAAACAAAAGACAACAAGGCAATGATCAAATAGGAAAATAACTCATTTATATTTCAGACTTGGAGTTGCCATTCTTTTCTAATAGGTCTTAAAAAGTCCTCAAAAATTGTATTTTTAAGGAAAGTGCAACACCAATGCACCTTTTACAGCTATTTTGAGAATTATGTTTTTTTGTTTTTTTGTTTTTTTTTTTTTTTGCACCTCTACTACTTTTTGTTCTAAGTAAGAATTTCTTTTAACAAAACATCAATCTCAAACTGAACCTTAGGCTTGTGCTTATTGGAAATAAAAAGCAAGAAAATTATGATCTTAATTTCCTTTTTCCCCCCGTTAGTTTTTGTTATGTTTAACCATTAAGGATGGCAAAAAGGAGGGGTGTTCGAGTTAAATAAATCTCCAACAATAGTGCATATGTTGGCTGTTTTTGCTTATGATCTTATCACAAATGTAAAGGAGACTTATTTGATATCATATATTCAAATCGAAGTGCCGAATTAATACTCATGACAGTCACAAATTAAAAGACACAATACATAAATGTGAGTGCACTACTCACTCAAAATTAAGGTAAATCCGTAAATAAACGGTCAACAATAATAGGATTTAGTTCTTCATATAGAATTATACAAGATTATAATTCTTCTTTTTTAAATGGGATTATATTTCAAATTAAAGAGATACAAACACTAATTCCAACTCAAATGGCCACAAGTTACAGGAAAACCGCAACCCCGATAAAAAACTGAATCTACCAATAAATTTGAATGAAACGCTGCTCCAGAAAAAAAAACGTGTATTGCGTTCTATAAATGGACACTCATTAAAGTACACCAAAGATCGAACACGCATATAGCTCTTTGAAAAATCCTTAACAATCGATGGAAAAATTCGATCGACTAAAATCGAGAGACCTGTAGTACTAAGCCCAAAAAAAAACACCACTAAGACACAAATCTAGCAGACCGAAGGCAAAAACTAATACTGAAAAACTAGACAAACACATAAACATAGTGGGATAAAACCCACTATTACTGCAAACCAAACTACACTGAAAAACAAAGGAAAACTGCCAAGCATCTCCATCAAAAGCCTCTAATCGTCAAGAAGTTTCGAAAGATGCATGGTAAAGTCGGAAGATGATTGACAAACAACGGTGTTTGGCCCTCACGTAGCTTCACCACCATGGAATCCAACCCCACCACCACCAAACCACCAAGATTATAATTCTATCAATAGCCTTAACTCAATATATTACAAATCCGCTAGTGTGACCATGCAATAATTCACATTAGTACAATTTAGGGTTGTAAAAAAAAAGGGTCAACCGATCTAAACTGACAATAACTAACCAAAATCGATTGAAAAAGCAGGTGCCACGTCATGACCGAATCGTGACGGTCAGTTAACTGAACCAAAACTTGTCTCGGTTCGGTTTAAATTTCAGTTTTTCGATGACAGTCGGTTAATTGAAATTGAAAATTCATATGGAAAATAAAATTTTAAAAATATTCTAAAAATACTTAAAAGATACACACCTAACAGTAAGGGTTTTCTTTCCCATTTACTCATTCCTTTTCTCTGCCCTTTGGAAGCATGGTGACATTTTTGTGAAGTTTTTAAGTGTCAAAATCATGTCCATTAAAAAAAAAGTGTCAGAATTAGGTTCTTTAGGTTCTTTGGACATGAGAAAACTGTCAATTAACCGCTAAATTTGATTTAAATTGATAGAGTTTAACAGTCTGGTTGATGTTCGATTTTTATATCCCTGTTGGATGGTTTCAGTTCTAATTATCCATAAAACTAAAATTTTAGTCACTGAATCAAGAAAACTGATAAAAACTGACCAATGTACACCCCTAATATAATTCACAAAAGAACATGCCACTCATATCGTAAATAGATAATATCACAATTTTATCAAAATAAGCGCAGAAATACCAAATGTGAACCATGTTTTTGACTGTTTAACAATTTTATCAAAATAAGCGCAGAAATATCGAATGTGATTTTTCAACTGTTTTTTTTTTTCTTTGTAGAATTTTTTTTCGTTTTTTTTTTTTTTTTTTTTAAGTAGAATGGTTATTCGCTCTCAAGGAATAAGGGTGTACGGCAAGAAGTTGGGGAGTAAACGCAGCAGATCAGAGTAATTACCAATTGTACACACAAGTACGTGGGAAAACGTGCAAGAGCTACAATCTCTAGTTTGGTCCACTTGGAAGCACTACCAGTCAAATTCAGAACAGAAGACGTGGTGTACTCATGGCTGCGTTCAAAACCACTCAAAAAAAAAAAAATAAATAAAAGAAAAAAACCAAACTCACAAAATGATCTCTTTTTCAACACAAATTAGTTAAAAATCACAAAGAAAGAAAAAAAAAAATCGAAATCCCCACTCTTCCTCGACCTTTCTCTCTCTAAAAATCTTTCCTCATGAAAAGCTGAATGCAGAGAGAAAAATAATGGCTTTTCTTCTGCCCAATCTAGCTCCCTCTCTCCTCCTGCAATCAAAGTCCAAAGAGAAACCCATTATTCATCACCAAACTCTCCCTCCCACAAAACCCAACACCCCTTCTCTCTCCTCTCTCTCTCTCTCCTCTTCTGTGACCAGTCTCCAAACGCCTTCAGTCGAGAAGAGTGGTGCGCAGGATAACACGCCCAAGGATGCGCAGGATAAGCAGCAACCGAAAAGAGACGACTTTTATGTCAACCTTGGCTTGGCCGTACGGACTCTCCGTGAAGACCTCCCTTTAATATTCTCCAAAGACCTCAATTATGACATTTACAGGTCATTTTTTTCATATGGGCAATCTGATTTTCTTCCATTAATTTTTGGTTTTTGTGATAGTTTTTGGTGTTCCTTTGTAACGTGTTTATTTTCTCTATTGCTTTTTTGGGTTTTGCTTAAAGAAATAGAGGAATTCTGCTTTCAAATTTGATAATTTTGTGGTGTTAAATTGTAACAACAGGGACGATATAACATTTGTAGACCCTTTGAACACATTCTCTGGCATAGAGAAATACAAACTGATCTTTTGGGCACTAAGATTCCACGGCAGTTTTCTTTTCCGGGAGATTTCTCTTGAAGTCTACAGAATTTGGCAGCCTTCAGAGAATGTGATTCTCATTAGATGGAACTTAAAGGGTGTACCAAGAGTTCCATGGGAAGCAAAGGGCCAATTCCAAGGCACCTCTAGATATAAGTTGGATAGACAAGGAAAAATCTATGAACACAAAATTGACAACTTGGCTTTCAATTTCCCGCAGCCCCTTAAGCCTGCGGCGTCGGTGTTGGACTTGGTGGCTGCGTGTCCGGCTAGTCCTAACCCGACGTTTTTGTGGGATCCGGTGGATATGCACTCGTCTTCATGGGTGGAGTTCTATAGGGCAGTGAGGCATACCTTGGATCAAGAAGGTTACTCTCTTGCACAAGATGGTTTGATCACTTGTTCATAGCTAGAAAGTTACTTTTATACATTAATGTATACAATGAAATTTTTAGCACACAAATATATATATATATATATGTTATTGCATTACTTTTGTATAACATATTGGTAGATTAGCAAATAATGGCTTTTGCTGAAAGGACAAAGGGTTGTATATATAAAAAGGGATAAGGATGCTGGAGAATTGAATAACTAATTGTGGCGGTGGGGGCAGAGAAGCTTTGGCATCTTTTATGAGCAGCCTATACAGGTCGGATATTCGTATGTACCAATCTTATTGCTTTAGCAAAGCTCGTTTTGGTATTAATTCTCTCACTTTACAACTAAGTTCTACGTTTGTTTCTTATGGTTATTCAGTGATCTCTTAGAATATGTATATTAGTTGATAAGATTTTCAATGTAGTCAAAACCAGAACATTAAGTCAAGATGCAAAATTCCATCTATTTGGCCAAACAGGTAGGGCAGTGTATATAGGATTCTAATTATGAAAAATGAAATTACACAACAGTTTCGGCCGAAGCAGCACGACAATCTAGCATATATTTCACGGGGAATAAAAGGTCCGCCGAATATTGTTGTCTAATGCAAGCACAATTTGAACAAACACTACGAGTGCAAGCGATCGCCGTAAATCATGTAGACATATATAGTATGTACAGAAGCCTAAGTTCACAATCATCAAGAGTAGACTCAATCAAAGAGGAAGTCTATCCAAAGGCTTAATCGCTGCAACGCCACTCAAATCAGGGCTCATGTACTTGTCGTAGGTGACCTTTAACTGTCCTGCCCTAGCAGCTCGTTGGAACCGTAAGATCATCTCTGCACAATCTCTGCAATGACCAAATAGATATATGTACAACGATTCGATAGAAAGGATAACTTGCAGAAATGAATGAATGACAACTACCTTAATTGAGACACTTCATAGCGTGCATGCCGACATAGCAGTGGTGTCCAAGGTGTCATTTGTAGAGTACATCGCGCAACAAAGATGGCTGACGCACATAGCAAAGATGGCTTGAACATCAAAGCTTCGTATTCAACCAGGCACAACTCAATTAGGTAGAATGCCAAATGTTCAAGCTGGTAGATGACGACAAAAAACAAAGTTAGCATTTCAAAAGAATTAAAAAATTAAAAAAACAAATAAAGTTAGCTAGCCAAATTAAGTCCCAATGATATTCAATATCGACCTAATTTAAATCTCTGGAATCTGTGCATACCTTTGTGTCTGACTGAGCAGCCTTGAGAAACCTTAACATGAAGACATATGGAGTGGGTGTATTTAATCGAAACTTCAGTTTCCTAAGAATAAGCTTCTCCTGAAAAAGGAAGCCAATGTGAGTCATTAGAATAAAAAAGGGGAATACAATTTATCAGTCTTTTTGCATTGGCTTTCTTTATATAATAATTTGATCAGTCTTTTTGCATTGGCTTTCTTTATATAATAATTTATGCTTACAATATATCATTTGAAACTATCCAATTACATTTCTGGTTCAAAAGCAGTAAATACAGTACTCCATTGTCCGCTTAAAGATATCCTCGTTACCAAGATGATTGTAGGCAAAACTTAACAGTAATCCCATACCTGATTCCACGTAGAATTCAAATCTCCCCACCCCAAAGTTTTTTTGTAACAAAAAAAAATAGAAAAGAAAACGAGTAACCAGTAAGCTATATAACGAACTACACTCAAAAGCAATAAATGCAGTAATCCATTGTCCGCTTAAAGATATCCTCCTTACCAAGTAAGGTGGTTGTAGGCAAAACTTAGCAGTAATACCACACATGATTCCACTTAGAATTTGAATCTCCCCACCACAAAGTTTTTTGTAAAAAAAAGAATAAAAAAAAAAAAGAAAACTAATAACCAGTAAGCTATATAAAGAACTATACTTGAAATGAATCATCAATAAAATTTGACTTCATTAATTATCTTTAGCTAAGCTTTTTTTTTTTAATCATCAAATCCATCAAAATTCAAATTTGTGCACCAATAATGATAATTAAGAAGTAAATATGCTTATATTATTTAAGAAATGACAACTCAAACCTATTCATAAAAACTACCTTTTATCTACTACATAGGAAATATGCAGATTCAGATAAAAACTGGTGTCTACTAAGTCACTCCTATAGTATTACAATAGTCTCCTACAGCATTACAACATTGTCATAAAAACTGAACATAAAGGAAATACTGAATTGCTGGAGAAAAACTAGAAACGACAAGGAAATTTATTGCAGCTTAAACATTACATCCAAATAGACATTGCACAACTCAAAAGTGTTTTTATTTATTTATTTATTTATTATTATTTTAATAACAATGCAGATTTCATACCATTTCGAGCATCTGGTCCCTTGTGTATGACTCCGCTGAGATGCTAAGTAAATCTTGAACCTTTATCAGATAGAACAAGAGAACTAAGAAAATGGATATTTTTTGCGAGGAAAAACACATGTTAAGTTAAGGAATTGGGAATATGAAATATGTACCCTAGGATGCCAGAAGTCTTCGTACTTTGATGCAAGGAGAAGGGCCGTGAGGCCAACCAACTGCATTTCACTCTTCTGAATGGTGACTTGAGAGAGATATCGGTCTAACAATGTAACCATGAGATAAAGTGTTTCTTGCATTAAGTCAAATTTAAAGTGGACCTGTTATCGGAGACAGTTTTGCAGATCAATTTAGCAAGATCTTAACTAGATAATAACACCAGAAACAAATATCAACACTTCCAGAAAGAGTTAAATAGGTACTTCAATTAACCAGTTGATCAATACGGCACGCATATGTGGAGAAATGTCTGTCTGAACTGACATGCAGTTTGCCAAAGCTGGATTCTGTGCCTGCAAAAAATAAGTCTTTTCTGTAAGGGTATAAAGCCCTTGTCATAGAAATGAAATTCCAATAAATGACATAGGAAAAGAGCAATTGCAGCGGTAACAGATTACAGGCAATACAACATTCCTACCATTTCGGATCAAACTATATCACAAACATAGACTCGTTACTTGTATGTTGTTTATGAGAGAGAGAATTAGTCCGGCCATGATTGGTTATGATCTATCCTTTGCATTCTGTCCTTTATTTATTTTTTAAAGACACCAACTTCATTTAAAATGCACATATAAAGATCATCAAGTGATTGGATCTTTAGGCATGTCCTCTATATCTGACGTCATATATCTTCTAAGTTACAACCTTTCAATTAATTCATACTAATAACCCTTTTCTGGTTTTCTTGATTACGATATTTCTTCACCAACACAAAACTCCATGCCACACAAAACTTAATCCGGAATAACGTGGTATTAACTCAACATGGAATTTTCTATTGGCATTTGGGCTCATATATGAAATAAATTGTGTACTAAAAATAGACCACGAGATGTCTAAGTGCTATCTCAATCTCATAAATGATTCCCTTACAAGTTCTAAAAGGCATCAGTGGCGACACAATAAAAAATCTTGTGGCTTCAGGCCATCATTCTAGACAATTAAACGTCTAATCCCTACGTGAAACATTTTTTCCAAACTAAAGTTTGTACATACAAATTCCTGGTACTTTTTTTCTCGAGTCCTCCAAAATTCCAACACATATGAGAGTTGATCTGTATTGACATCCTTTGATATGCTTAATTGCTTGATTTAGAATAAACTAAAAAAGAAGTGGAAATCCTCATTTTGGAGTATACAACATAACATGGTACTGGGAAAAAAAGAAAAAGAAAAAGAGAATGCATTAGAAGATATATACATGTCCACGCATCAAAAGTATCAGAAAGCATGAAAGTCATCACCTCTGTAACCCAATAATATTGATAGATATCATCAACATAATCAACAACTTCAAGTTGATTCGCCTCATCATCAATACTCAGTAACTTTTCTTGCTTCATGTCATGTTCTTCTAGTAACTGCATACAGGAAAATGTGGTATTATCGAAATTGGTACATAAGGGAAAAGGCACCATAAAACGCAGAAATGTGAACCTTGGATCCTTCCACCAACAAAGATGTGTAGGATCTCCGCCGCCTTGAACTTTTCTTGGTAAGAGTATCTGAAGTACTTGGTTTGGAGTTGCCATCTAACGGAAGTTGCGCACAAATCGATTCTTGTGTGATATTTTCACAATGAGAAGATGCCTCTGGCTCCTTATTCTTTGATAAAGTTGTAATGGCAGTAACCGATTTGTTCATGCCCGTTTTGGGGTTGGGCTTTGTATTCAATTTGGCACAAGAAGCCTTTATTGTAGTCTTCACAATTGGCTGGATCATGAATGAATAAAAGTAGTTCATCTTGTTGAACATGGATAAAACACAAGAGTTCCAAATAATATTGAAATTCTAGCTTGACAATTAAGAGGAGAAACGCAACAAAGACACAAAAGCATATGGATCCAGTGAAATCAATCATTTAGATGAATTTCTAATAATCATGATTGCCAAAATTGGTGAAACAAAAGATAGGTGGAAAGGAGATATGCTGCAAAAGAATTGCCACTTACCCCCGTAGATTTTCTCGACACTGTACGAGAATCCACAGTCCTTTTGCCCCTGCAGTGCCAGATTATATGCATTCAGCATTTTGATAGTAATGTCTCGTTCAACTGCTAGTTATAATATAATGTCGAAACATTAAATTATGTTGGAATAAATTTACTGGCTGACGTTTCAATTTCAGAAAGAAGGTACTCCAGTCTCTTTCTCTCTATTTTAGAGTAATGGGGAAAGAGAACAGACAATTAGCTCACATATCCCTCACCCAATTGCAAGTTTAGGGATGTGTCCATATATCAAATCATATCTTCAAAAGGAAAAATACGAGAAACAAATGTGTTTCTCATTATGTTTCATAAAGCTGCTTAAATCTACAGCCTGAAATATACTTCAAGCCTAAGGTGACACATTCAAAATCGTGCCTCTTATTGGTGATCATCATAAATGAGAATACAGAAAAAGGCAGAACATAGCTGATGTATAATTTGAATGCTTTGCAAACATATAGAGGACCTCTCACAAAAACTCTAGAATGAAGCAGTATGATCTTACTAAAAAAGTAAATAAATAAATTACAAAGAAATAAACGCTAAGCACATTTGCATAAACTGAAATTTGATTAATTAATTGGTCTCAGCACTCTGGAAATTGTTACTTTTTTGGTACTATTTGAATTCAAGCATCTTCTTTAGGTCAAACCAAATTAATTTAAGGAACATTGTTTTTCATTACAACTCTCAGAAATATCATAAACACTTTACTGCATTTGGAAAGGCAGGTGGCAGCTAAAAGATGCTAGATGGATAAATCATTATTACTCACGTTATCATGAAGCCATCACTCACTCGATTCCTCCAGGGATGGGTCTTAGCATTGTTTACTCGAGGCATGGCTTTCCTACCAACCGCAACTTTAACTGAAGCCAAGAATCATATTCACAATCCTGAGTATACACTTAGGAAAATATCACGAACTCAATGCATATTTACAAGACACCTACTTTCTCCTTTTGCCTTTTCAGAGCTTCCCAAATTTTCCTACAAACAAAAAGATAGAGAGAGAGAGAGAGAGATAAGACTTCAGGCGGAAAAAGATATTAGTGATTATAATTGTCCAACCAGAAATTCAACTAAGGGAACAAATAGTAATGAACAACGATGACAATAACTTCTTTTCTTTTTCTATATGATTTAATTTGTCCTAACTAACAAAAACAAAAAATGTGAAGAGACCACCTTTGGAATGTCTGCCTGGTTCACCCTCTTTAACACGGGAAGTGACTTCCTTCAGGTAAATAGAATAGAGAAATTAAGTTACATCAGTAAGTGGTGCATTTTTCATATATTTAACCCCCAAAAATGATTTCACAAAGATCAGACCTTGTTGGTATGAGTGAATTCCTTGTTGTCATCCTGAAACATTAAATATAGAATTTAAATTGATCATTTAAGAATGTAGTTTGAAGTTTCAGCAAGCTGGAGTCATCCACTAAAAATGATTTGCAAACATCAGACCTTTTTGGTATGAGTGAATTCCTTGATGTCATCCTGATGCATTAAATATAAATTTGAATTAACCATTTAAGAATTATAGTTCCAACGAGTATCTACCACCAAAACCTTAAAAAAATAACTAAAAAAAAAAATACCAGTTGTCCATGTAATGAAAATGGAATAATCTATCACAAGTTCTATGGTTTAAAATAAAAGGAGAGAGCAGGTGCTAGAGAAATGTTGAGCAGACCTTTTATTTGCAACAATAGATTCACGGGGGAATCTTGTAGCTTTGGTATTTTGAGAATTTGATGGCACCTTAAAATCTGTAATGCCAACCGATATTATAAACAAGTTTGGAGTTCAAACATATACATGCTTTGTCAAACTATGTTCCTAGATTTCTAAAGAATTCAAAGTCACCTTTATTTGAATTATACAAGTCAGGAACACCTTGACTATGATCACCCTGCATATTTCCAAGGCAAAGCACAAGTGAAAGAAGAAAACTTCAAGGAATAACAAAATCAAAAGATAAAAGTGGTTCACGACTTCATGATGGTTGGAAAAAAAGAGAACATTCCTATAAAGTCAAATCTTGAAATAGCTGAGGTTTTATGTATTTAAAAACAAAAATATATAAATAACATAATGTTGCCATACAAAGAAATTGTTTTTGAAAACCTGAATGTAAAATTATGAATCTTTTTTTGGCGGGAGGTGGAATAATAAAATGAGAATAAGATAACTGAAGCAGGAGGGCCACACTAATTTCCATTCTCAATTAATGACAAACAACAACTCAAGGCTCTTTAGCCAAAAATAAATAAATAAACAAAATAAAATAACACTTCAAGAGTAAATATGTAGTGTCAAAGTAAATGCTCATACCTGAATCGATTTCCTTGACGAGACATTCGTAGTTTTACCGAGCAGACTTGTCGATACACTAAAGGTATAGAGCAAAAAAAGGGGCAGCCACCAGGGAAGATGTTATTCTTTAATAATAATAAATAAATAAAAAAAGAAAAATTGAAAGCCAATAGCCTGAAGTAAATTGCTGGAATTTGATCGATTTATAACGAGAATAGAGACAAACTAAATAGATTAAATTGGTTCCGTCTTGTGAATTTAAATGGACCATTTTGGTTCTTGAGACATATTCATTTGGTTCAAGAAACTCTTTATTTGTAACTAGCAAGCATTTAGAGATAGAAACAACGAGACATAACATAATATCTTGCAGCCAGAGAATAGTAAAAGGGATACTTATGGCCATGAAATTGCTAATTTGCATTTGCAACAAAAAGGAAGCTCCCAATCCCTTAACCGGATATGCATGCACACAGCAGTGTAAAGACTGTGCATCGATGAATCAACTCAAACAAGCAAAAATAATTCAGATGAAAAATTAATCTGACGCTATCGTTAGCAAAGCTAATTCAATCCAAAATTAAAAATTCAAAGTGTATCATATAGCACAAATATATAATTCTCACTCCCCTTTTCCCCACATTGCAATAAAGCATTCATAAGACCTATTGGCTCCAAAGAGAAAGCTTCTCCCATGATGCAAATATGAATATGGAATGATAAATATGAACACATAGCATGCCGCACCTATATTGCACACTACTAAATACATATGTGGTTGTCTCTGCTTTTATAAAGAAATTATATATCAAAATGAAGATGAAACTTCACCTATTTACCAGAGAGCGAAAAAGAGAGAGATGCTTACGATAGTTTTAAGCTAGTACGTGGTAAATTCCTCGACACATTGCCTTGAACATTGCTGACATCAGCCAATGCTCTTCTTCCAACAAATGCTTTTCCCAGAAAAAGGAAATGGGATGTCATGAAAGAAACTCCCAAATAAAAAAAAAAAAAAACACCATAGATGAAGTTTGCAACGCAAGCATTGTCCCTTACCACAACTACCATTCTTGCCTTTGCTCATCTCCGTACTTTTTTGAACACCCTTAATGTTGAAGAAAAATACAGGGAAAAAAAAGAACAATAATGGCTTGTTAAAAGAACAGTTTCTACAAACCTTCCAGAATTAAGAAAGAGTGAGATGGTCAATACCTTTCGAGAACTTGTACTAGCCAGAGTAGATGCTTTGTTCAATGGCATCGATTTCCTTTTACCATAAAAAGTCGGGGAAAAGAAGTTAACAAAACAATAAAAGTAACAAAGTTTTAAGTCTGCTTACCTTATGTATAGTTAACCCAAAAAGATAAAAATGCAAGGACGGGTAGTTATATAGAATATCTAATTGCAAACTTTGTATAGAATTCTTCAAACGTTCCAATTACGTAATTAGTTTTGCTTTTAGAATACCCACTATTTCTTTAAAAACCCATAAACTGAAGTTCATATATTTTTGACAAGTTAATATCTAATTAAACTAAAATATGGGTGTGATCTATTTTTTATTTAAAAAAAGATATACATAAGTAAAAAGAATAAAACAAAAAAAACCTTGATTTAACTAGGTTGAACTTGGAGTGCTACAACTCGGTTGATTCTCCTCAGAAATAATACAAAATGCTTAATTGTCTAATCTAATAATCCTAATTTCCTTTCTTTGCTTAAATTCTAATTTTTTCAACATTCCCACAACAACAACAAAAAACAAAAGAAACCTAGAAGAAAAACGAAGATACCTGCTAACAATGTCAGCAGCTTCATTTTCCGAATAAAAAGAGAAGGCGGTCCTACCGCTGCTGGCTTGGATTCGGACTCTGCCGACTCCGAATTTCGCCTGCGATTTCACCGAAACAAAAGACGATTTCGTAAATGCGAAAGATGCAATATCTAAGACCCTAGGAAAAAAGAAAGAAAGAAAAAAAGATAATTAAGAGCTTCCTTCTCTCACCTTAGAAACCTCCATTTTGCTTCTTTGTAGATCCGGCCTCGTGTTCTGCTGCTGATCCAATTTATGAAGAAAAGTACAACTGAATCGCAATAGAAAGTCGAAAAAGAAGGAGAAAACAAAATCCAAAAGCGAAAAATTTAAACTAAAACTAAATTGGAGTGGAAAACCCTGACGATTGCTTCAAAGTGAAAATTGATCTACGAAAAGAAATTCGGACACAAAATTGTTGGGAGTGTTAGGTAATCGTTACCTTGATGGACGCCATTTTTCCGGTGTAGAGATTTTTCTTCGCTTGGGTTTTGCTCCTAGAGAGAGAAAAACTTCCAAGAACAGAAAGAAAGAGAGGGGGAGAGAGAAATGAAAATGAAAAGAGGCGCTCTTCCTCGTCCTTTTCTTTTTGGTGTTCGATTTGAATAGGGTGTGTTTTTACGGTATTGACCTCCATAAAGTACGATAATAAAAAAGGTAAAAAGTTTGGCCCATGCAGGTCTCGAACCTGCGACCTTCGCGTTATTAGCACGGCGCTCTAACCAACTGAGCTAATAGGCCGTACGTATTTGTATTTATATTTTAAAATGTTTTTCTGTTACATTTAAAAATATGATGAACCTTCATGACTCTGTTAATGAAATAGTAAAACATACACAATATATATATATATATAAACACTAATAAAAAGCAGGAAGAAAACTTAGAACAAAATTATGTGATAGTGGTATAATAAGATTGGATTATTGTATCTCTCTCTGCATACTTACCAATTGAATTAGAATAGTCTCTCTTTTTTTATTTATACTTAACCAATTTAATTTAGCTTTGCGTAATTCGAGTGATTGTGAATAATTGATTTATTCTTCTTTGATTTTAGAAGTTTGTGTAGTTTTTATTATTCTTTTCTCTTGTTATGTTATAATCATCGCCGTCGATAAAACTTTAAATCATTCCATATCTAATCTTCTCATTCGAGAGCATCTGTAAGCTCTCATGAATGAAACCCAAATGAAACTCAAAAGTATGCCAAACACATCCCAAATCCTACCTGGCATGTGTCAAATTTGTTGACAACAATACCACTCTGCCAAGCAATGTTCGTCCTTCAAATACATGCCAAAAGACTACCAATTGTTGACCCTAAGGGTAATTGACGTAATTGTAATGATAACAAATAATTGATTGGTGAGATTGGTAATAATTAGTCTTGAGTTTTGTTATAAAAAAATGACACAAATATTTATAACTCAAAGATTTGATTAGAAAAGTTTAAAAGGTTCGCTTGAGTTGTTGAAACATAAGCTTGAAGAAAAAGAAGGATCTCAAGACTAGACCATATAGGCTGAAATCACATACATTAAGGCCCCGTTCATTTCACCAGTTTGAGTTTAAAATTTGAGTTTTACTACAATAAAAAGCTCTAAAAAACAATCACATCTAACTTTTTTACTACAGTAAAAGGCTCTCATATAAAGCTACATCTCAACTAGAATTAAAATTTCGAATCAGCGAACTAAACTGGCCCTAATCTTATATTGAGGTGTGAGCAGTTCATAAAATTCTTGTTTCAAATATAGTTCAATGCGCACACACTCTTTAGAATTCCATACTTCTACAAAATTGGATAAGATCTTTTTATAACGTTTCTAACTTAACATGGTCTTAAATTGTATTAAAACTTTTATCTAGATTTTAAGTGTCCAAAATTAAATAAAATTTGTACTATCATTGTCCGGTAAATAATGGATTGCGTTAGTCAAACGAAGGAATACAGAACTCAGAACTCAGAGTTTCTAATCAATGGGTAACATTTGGTCGACCTATACTATTCAAAAAACTATAATTTCAGCCCTTGGACAACGAGCCAAAACCGGGTTTTTGACTTATTTTGCCTATATAGAAGGGTTTTGAGGTCTAAAATTGTCAAGGGACCATTGCAAATGCTCTAAAAACTTGTTTCAAACTCTCTCGTGATCTTCCAAAGCTAAACTAACATTTATTTCATCTTAAGGATGCGCTGATTACTCTACATTCTAGGAGAGATTCTTGGGATAATAAACTTTCACATTCAAAATCTAATTCTCATAGCTTACTAATCCCTTATAAGTTTGGTGTGAACAAGAATCAACATCCCCATTTAAAGTGGTGGATGCAGAAGATGTGGTGGTGAGCCTCCGGCAGAGAAGTCATCCGACTGTATCGGAGAGGTTGTGCCAAAAAACAATCGATATGGCATATAAGAGGTCGACGGTTTGTTTGTCGATAGATTGTCAAACCTAACCCTTTATTATTTGCAAATTCTATTTGAAGTTTTGTTTTTTGTGCAATTGTGTGATTAATGTGTTCTGTACTGTTTTAATAGAAAATTAAGTATCATTTCGTGATTTTATCAATTTTGTATTAATTTCCAACGTTTAATTTCAATAAGTAAAAAATAAAAAATAAAAACTAAAAATTCATGACCTCCATGAAATTCAACTTAAACCGACGTATCGTTAATGCACGTAGTCCGATCAATGTGGTGCAAAATGCTTGATTTATATCTTTTGGCTATCATTTGCACAATCTGCTTTCCCATAATGTGAGTAGTTCAGAAATGATAATATCTCCAACCTTCTCAGTTCCTAATTTTTTATTCACCAAAAGAAAGAAAGAAAAAAAAAAAAAAAAAAAAGGTTTCCTACTTCCCATAGAAACAAGAGAAAAATCACGGTTTTATTTATTTATTTATTCATACAAACTTACTTTTATTAAAAAGATGAAAATGTTCAAGAAAATGAGGATATGGAGTCCACCAGAAAAACACACTACAAGAAAGAAATTCATTCCCTCACTTAACTCTGAAAACATCACTCTTAGTTTATGTGTTCCATAAATGAATCCACAATGATACCCAAAACTCTTTTTTTTTTTTTTGGCCCCTTCCAAATTTCATCAGATCCGACTCAATCCCATAGAAAATCCATGGTTTTTGCAGTGGCTGAATTTGAAAGGTGTTAAAAATAATAGTTGGATCTAAAGCCCAAAAGGCTTGAAACACAATTAGTGCCAGAGAATTACAAGGAAAACAAAAAATGCCTGCCAATAATTATTGCTTGAGCTCTGTCAGCTAAAAGTTGTAATTTTTGTTCCTGCATAGACATAAATTAAAACCTTATCAATAAAGGAAAAACGACTATAACAAGAAGCACCAACTAAATGAATTTAGACAGGCCAATGGTGTCTTCTGTCATAATCAAGAAGTCCTGGACTCGGGTGCCAATTTAGTTAGGATGTGCCAGTATTCTTTGATGACAGTTATTCTCCCACGACTATAAAGGGCGGCCGGAAAGCTTTCTATCAACAACAGGGGGGCTCTTCTCCTTGTTCAGTGACACAAAAAAGGAGTTGACAATGTCAACCTTTGATGTCTTTGGTTTGGTTCGGTTGCCTTTGTCAATGCTAATAAGGATCGGGGCTTGCTAGCGGAATTCAGTAGAGGCTCTAAGAGGGGCTTGCTATCTCACTCTTATTTATCGTAGAAGAGATCTTACTTGAGACGTACATAATCATGGTAAATACTAATTCAAGAAATATTTAATTGCTTACCACAGAAAGCAGCCTCTTTTTTTAATCACGAAACGGTGTAAGATTGATATTGAAAGGCTGCTTCCCCCTGCTTACCCTCTGTCAACAATCACAAATCATATCATAAGGTGAATATCATTATTTTGTCTTATCTTCTAATATCTTTTTCTTATTATTTTTTCGGGGTTTGGGAAGGTGGAGTTTGATTCATATGCAGCAAATTTGCTATGAGAATCTGTAATGCTGTACTAGCGATACTCCTACTTGTTGATAAAATCGTAAAAGATATTTTAAGGTATTCAGGAAATCAACACTATTACTCTTTCATTAATCACAATTTTAATACCCCTTTAAAAAAATAAAGTAAAGATCAAAGAATCTTTCTTGTACGAACCAAAATACTGCAAATACTAACCAAAATCCACGTAACAAACAAATCTCAAGTACAAACTGCCATGTGGATTAAACTGTATACTTTCCCGTTGATGGCATTATCAATAGAGCTAGATAAACGTGGCACGAAATTAGAATATAACAATAACAAATCAGATTAGGATAAAGCAATGGGCTTACAGCGATTGCCACAAGCTCTTCAAGAAGTTCCTCCAAATGGCGCAACGGCTATATTTGTTAATAAGCAGAAATTAGTAACTGCTTTAGAAAGTATTTCAAAATAATTAATAATAATAATAATAATAATAATAATAATAATTGTACCAATCCCAAAACAGTATACATAGAATTATTTGATTGTTCTTATGCAGGAATCTGTATACTCACCCATTGAGTGGGACCATCAACAGGGGCATTCAGAGGATCATCATGCACCTAAGCAAGGTTAAGCTCTCAGAAAACTAATATGAAATACATGTTACTGAAATACTCAGAGAAGACGCCCAATAAGAAAGACCTTTGATTACACAAGTTCCAAAGAATACTGCATTTTACAAGCTAAGATTCTGCGAGCCCCCCGTTTCTAGTAGAAGCAAATGAATCAAAAGAGCAAAAAAAAAATTCTCCATACCTCCATGAAAATCCCGTCAACTCCGACAGCAACTGCTGTCCTCGCAATGCAGGGTATCAATTCACGAAGACCACCACTTGCAACACCACCATCATCCAACTATACATGAATGAAGGCAGTTCAGCCACTTTGTGGTGAAAAAAAAAACCCCTTAAGAACTGTGAAACAATACATAGATTAGCATGTTGGAAAAGTTTTTGCAAGAACAAGCCAATCACGCAATATCAAGAACAACCTTGTGTAACTAATTGTACCAGCGAGAATGCAAACACAATATTTAGGACCATTTTTTTTTTTTTTTTGGATAAGATCTTTTTTTTTTTTGGGGGGGGGGGGGGGGGGGGGGGGGAACAGAAATCATT